GTGTGGATCCCCGTAGAGGAAATGGCAGAGTAAGCAAACCTATAGCGGCAGACAGGAAGCAGGGCATCGCCAGGGGCTGGGGGCCAGAGGGCTGGGGAGTGACTGGTCTAAGGGCACAGGGCTCCTTTTCAGGGGAACAGAAATGTTCCGAAATTGGCTGTGCTTATGGTGGTACAATTTACGAATATACCATAAACCAGTGAATCGTATCCGTAGGGCATGAGACGTGTTTGTCAATAAAACTATTTTAATCAAGAAAAAAGAAATGAAGATACGCCGAACCAAAACTCACAGATAAATCAACCCCCGCGTTCAGACACCAAAACCCATTCCAGGCGGATTCCAAAGCTCATGGTCAGAACACATGACAGCAACCAGCGTGCACGACAGACCTTCTCGCGAGACCCAGGAGGCGGACACAGCCGAGATGTGCGACCACCGATGACGGAGGAAAACGACGGTCCAGCCACACGCGGTCCGACTCAGCTGTCAAGAGAAATGAAGTCCCGGTGCTGCCACTGTGTGGACGACCGGAGAAAACGCCACGCTCTGTGGAGGCCCGGTGCTGCCACCGTGTGGACAAACCCAGAAAACGCCACGCTGAGTGAAGTCAGCTGGGAAAGGCCCCTTCCCAGGAAGCGAGCCGACACCTAGAAACCAAAGTCGACTCGTGGTGAGCAGGGCTGGAGGCAGGGAAGGCGGAGGTTTCCCTTTGGGGACACTGAGTTTGTGCTGCTGTCGGCGGAATGGTTTGGAAAAGGAGGGGAATGAGGAACCTGATCACTGTCACGGGTTCCACGTGTAGGAGTCATCGGGATGGGATAGGCTTTGTTATGTCTATTTTCACCACAATAAAAACACCCAAATGATAAACTGATGAAAAAGAAGAAAAGAGAGGTGATAGTTGACCTCTGGATGGAGCAATCATTTCACAGCTAAAGGCAATGGGAAACAAACAGATTTGGTTGGAAAATATTAAAAGTTCTTATACATGAAAATAAATAAATAAATAATGCCAGAAGCCAAAAGCAGACTGGGAGAAAATGTTTGCCCCAAGTCCTTCCCCACATATACACACATACACTTCTTTAAAATCTGTAGGATTCTCGGAGTCCAGTCAGCTGGTAAAACAAAAGATAATTTGCCCACTTGCAGAAATGCTTAATAGACATTTTCTAGAAACTGGGCCTCAGGCATAATACAAACAACAGTACTTGAAAGGAGACCATGAGACACCCTTTGTTACCTGCCCAACGTACAAGATTTGAAAAGGTAGAATAAACCCCCAACTCCGGCCAGAGTAAGCCAGCAGAGACCCTCGCATACATGTG